ATGTTCATGGATTGGAAAACTCAATACAGTAAAGATGTCAGTTCACCCCAGATTGATCTTGAGGTTTAATGCAATTCCTATCAAAATCCCGACAATTTTTTTTTTTTTTTTTTTGGTAGACAAGAAAAGCTTATTTTACATTTTATATGGAAAGGTACAGGCGAAAGCAACCTTGAAGAAGAATGAAGTGGGAGGAATTACTACTCAATATTAAAGCTTACTCTAGAGCTACAGTAATCAATACTGTGGTATTGGCAGAGGGATAGATACTGATCAATGGAAACAGAGAATCTAGAAATAGACCCACATGAATGTGCCAAGCTGATGTTTGATAACAGTGCAAAAGCAATGGCGCTTGAGCAACTAGACATTGGTGAGCAAAAAATAAACCTCAACATTAAGCTTTACACCTGATACAAAAATGAGCTCACATTGGATTTAAAAATAAAATGTCAAACATGAAAATTTTAGGAAAAAATAGGATAATATCTTCGGGAACTATTGCTAGGCAAAGAGTTAATTAAACGGCATCAAAAGCATGATCCATAAAAGGAAAAATTAATAAATTGAACCTCATTAAAATGAAAATGTTTGCTCTGTGACAGATGCTAAGAGGATGAAAAGACAACCTACAGAGACAAGCTAATTGCAAACGCACATAATCAGCAAACAAGTAGTGGCTGGAATATGTAAAGAACTCTCAAAACTCAACAGAAAAAGAGAATGCCGTTAGAACATGGGCAAAAGACATGAAGAGACATTTCACTGAAAAAGATATACAGATGGCAAATAAGCACATGTAAAGATTTTCAACATCATTAGTCATTAGGGAAACAAAACCACAATAAGTGATTACTATACACATATTAGAATACCCAAAACAAAAATAGTGACAACATCAAATGCCTATAAGGATGCAGATAAACCAATCACTTCTGCATTGCTGTGGGGATGCAAAATCGTACCCCCACTCTGGAAAACAATTTGACGGTTTCTTATAAAACTAAACATGCCAGTGTCATATGACACGTCACTCGCACTCTTGGGCATTTATCCCAGGGAAATGAAAAACTATGTTTACACGAAAACCTGTATACGAATGTTCACAGCAGCTTCATTTGTTAAAAACCGAAACTGGAAATAACAGATGTCGTTCAATGGGCGAGTGGTTAAACAAACTAGTCATGAGTCGCTTAACAATGGGAGATGTTCTGAGAAATATGGTGTCAGGTGATTTCGCTGATGTGCAAACATCATAGAGTGCACTCACACAAACCTAGATGATAGCCTACTTCACACGTGGGCTAGGTGGGCTAGCTTACTGCTCCTAGGCTACAAGCCTGTACAGCCTGGTATTGTACGGAATACTGTAGGCAATTGTAACACAATGGTAAGTACTTGTGTATCTGAACACAGAAAATGTACAGTAAAAATACAGCATAAAAGATAAAAGTGGCACACCTGTATAGGGCACTTGCCATGAACGGAGCCTGCAGGACTGGAAGTTGCTCTGGGTGAGTCAGTGAATGCATGGTGAGTGAATGTCAAGGCCAACGATGTGACTGTACTCTACTGTAGACGTTATAAACACTGTATGCTTAGGCTACACTAAATTTATAAAATAATAGTTTTCTTCAATAAAAATTCACCTTAGTTTACTATAACTTTTTTTACTTAATGAATTTTTAAAATCTTTTTGACTTTTGTAATAACACTTAGCTTAAAACACAATCACATTGTACAGTTGTACAAAAATATTTTATTTCTTTATAGCCTCATTCTATACGTTTTTGAAAATATTTTTTAAATTAAATGCTTTTTATTTTAAACTTTTTTAATTTTTGAAAAGTGGGGTGGTACACAGTGGAAATGTCAATCATCTTAAGTTTTGAAAAGTCTGCATTTTAACTTCTTACAGTAATTTTAATATAATTAAAAAAAGAAATCCCTAATGCTGTTTATTCGGTGCACCACAGATTTCACCTATCATCCTGATGAGTTGTTTTGGGGAGGCAGAAATGGGCAGCAAGTGGGAGTATGTATTTCTGGAGGCTGTCAACTGCAAAAGTGGTCCTCAGACTAAAAAGTCCTGTACCTGTTACTGTAGAAGTTGGTAGAGAATAGAAATGGAAACAAATTAATGTGAGTCTCTTAGGTTTTATTTCACTTGATAATGGGTGTACAAGAGTCTACTAAAATAAAAATGTTTTTATCTAATATGCTAGTGAGGTTGAATTTTTTTCCACAGGGTGTTTTTATTTAGTAAGACATCTCATGTTTTCTTAGAAAGGAGCACAGTCACAGGACACTAGAAAAGGGAAGATGAAACTTCTCTGTAACGCACAAGGTGCATTTCAGGAATTGGAGGGCCTGCAAAGCTTTTTAGGTGTGTACATGAGTACTTGACAGGGTCATGAGCGATGGATTCGTTAATACAAATAATTTAAAGTTGGTGGTCGTCAGTTGCCCTTTCATGGTGATGTTTTTTAGTTTCAAGAGACTTATATGCCCAACTTAATTTTAGCTATTTCAGGCAGGCGAGGAAGCTAGGAGAAGAGAGGCGAGGGGAAGGGCTTGGACAATGTCCTGCGTGCAGAGAAAACGGGCTGCATTTATGATACGCCCTCCTCTCTCTCCAGAATTCAATTGGCATTTCAAGGCCGAGAGGTGCTGGGTTTTCCTAGGTAGGCCGTGTGCTGATTCATAATATTTTGCCTGCACATCATTGGCTTCTGCAGCCAGTCTGGGCTTACTTACTGGGCTCCACTGTGATGCGGGGTGAGGGTGGGGGGAAGCAGTTGAGTTTTAGTGAGAAAATGCCTGAAAAACATGGAGCCATTACAAGTATGACTTTTTGGTTGGTGAAAAACGCTCAATTATTAAGGTCTGTCTTACATAATTGTGCCCTGGTACAGCAAAACGCAGTATTTTGAATGACTATCAGAAGGGAAAACTTCAGCCCAAACACTTAATCATAAAACGACTGCCAAAAAAGCTTTCCGTTATGCACTGAGGTCAGACATGAGTTCACTTGGTCTTTTTTTTTTTCTTTTTGTAATCTTCAATAGGTACTGCAAGAAATAAATCAGCTTTAAATACTGGATAAGCAGCTCCTGAATAATTTA